AAATTCGGCCGCCATTTTTTATGTGGTTTCCATAGTTTCAAGCTGTTACAATTAGATATACTTCATGTAACTCGTAAACATTATGTATCGCCGATAGGTGTATTCCGCTGATCACAAGTTTTGACAACATGTCATTTTCCGATTCATCTGTGCCCGGCGTGCTTAGTACCCTAATCCTAACCATCATCCCACTCCTAACTTACCCTAACCCTATTCAACTGTGAATTTTATTCAATTTCGGAGTTTGTCGGTTACTGACTGACTCAAGTCCGAGTTCGAGTCAAATGTCCGAGTCACTAGTTAACTGTATTTGTCGATAAAATGACTTAAGCCCCGTTTACACTACGCTCAATTTTTGGTACAGTACGGATAAAATTGGTACCCGTACCACTTTTTTGGTTCTTGGACTGCCTATTTAGGTAGTCCAAGAACGAAAAAGTGGTACGGTACCAAAAATTAAGCGTAGTGTAAACGGGACTTAGCTAAATAGGTAGTCCAAGAACCAAAGTGGTATGGGTACCAATTTTATCCGTGCCGTACCAAAAGTTGAGCGTAGTGTAAACGGGGCTTAAGTACCCTAACCCTAAACCTACTCCTAACGCTATTCGACTGTGAATTTTCTTCACTTTTCGTCCTTTTTTTACACGACTCGGGCATTTGACTCGGGCTCGGGACTGACTCGGACTCGGATTTGACTCGGTAAATGGATTTACTCTTTTGACAAACAGTGAAATGATTCTCACGGCAAACCGCCAGACAATGCCGTTTTTAGCAGCGACCGTTCATCTTTAGTTGCAAGCGACAGTAAAATATGTCATTTTAATTGACAATGTACGTTTATATTAAAGGAAAGCGTATGAAGTATTCTATGTTGAGCACAATCTAACGATTCATACAATTACGAACTTATATCAGTACGGGCCCAGTAAAAAGAGAACTCTTTTGTCGTTTATGTGTCATTAGATTGAAACAATCATATTTGTTGACTCTCGACTTTTTGCTGTCGACTCTTGACTTTTGCTGTCGACTCTCGACTCTCGAGCTACACTCTCGACTCTCGACCTCGACTTCCTCTGACAGTCATTAAAATTTTAGCATAAGTTGGCCCAACCCTAACCTGCGAACGGGCAGGTATGCTTTGAGCTTTTCTCTGCTCTGGGTGACGAGATTGAATTAGACAACTGAAATAGCGAACAATGATAGCACAGCTTATAGAACCAGAAACTGTGTTGATAGCTATATTCCAGGTTGTGATTGGAACCAAGAAACGTTTATAAAAGTAAAAATATTTATTCACAAATGTATAATTATTAAAATTTAAATTCTGGCGCTATATAAATTATTAAATATCATTATCCAAGCTATAAACACACGACTAAATTCAAAAAAACTTGGATAATTATGCGTAATTTCAGAGTTTTTTATTGGTTTACTGGTTTTATACTGGTTTACTGGTTTTATAACCGATTTTAACAACTGTACCGGAAACTACTTATTAAATCTTCTTCTGGGAAATAGGTAGTTGCTTAGCAACCTTCGCGTATGCTCAAATGAATTTATACACAAGTTCTTTATGCAGATGCAGAGACTCTCTCGCTTCTCAGTGCCGTGCCGAGAAGAAATATACGAGAGGACTTTGCTCGCAGGGTAGTGAAAGATATTTTGCTCGTGTAGATGATAAATTTGTGACAAATTTATTGTGACAAATGCATCTGAACAAAAACTAGTGTGCTAGCTTTTGATCAAATGAAATTTGTCAAATAAAATTTGCTCGTGTAAACGGGCTTAATTAAAATACTCAGTGGTTCCCCACATTAATAATGCATCCATGCATCAATAATAATGCAACACCGCGTGATCAAAACAAGTCTTGCGTTCCGTAATCATGGCGTCAACAGCTGTACTCTTTTGCTTTCTTGTTTTGCACTGTATAACTGCTCTTAATGGACAGTGTGGCCATTTAAGGTATACCACGATCAGAAATATCCGACGCAGTACAGCGTACAATGCTACTTATGATTTGTGCGATCGTGGTTTGATCCAAGATGGGTCATGGTACAGATTCAAAAGTGTGGCTGGCAATAAGATGCCCGAGTTTAACCCAGGGATAAATCATTGTGGAACTTTTATACCGATATGGATGAATGGGAAACATCCAACTACACCTGGTGTAGAGGTGGACAGGACTGCATGTGCACCAGTTCCGTGGCTATCTCCAGTTGGCTGTGGTGATCACTTTAACATCAAAGTAATAAATTGTAGAGGTTTCTTTCTGTATAAGTTGAAGGAACCTAAGAAGTGTACTTACGCTTACTGCGCAGGTAAGTTGCGCTAAAATGTGTTCATATTTTTTTCTCTATTACATAAAATAATTAACAACAAGACGCTCGAAAAAGCGTTAACTCGCTGGGGCTATAGTGATACGCTTGTTAGATGGTACTACAATCATATGGCCAATTGAGGAGTTAATTGTGACCTTTCCCGCCTGTTGCAAAATTGCGGTTCCGTGCCAAGTTTGGCACCGCTACCATGGCAGACAGTTTTCTGGGGACGGGAGTTTGTTCCGAACAAATGCCTCCTAGTAACTGCCTATTCCTTGCACATTTATATCTTCGACTCTCAGGACCGACTATATCTCTGGTTTTATGCACCCAAGTGATCCAACAAGGACAAAAATACCATCGTTCGAATCAGCGTAAGAAATTATACTTATACGGATGCCATATTCATTACTAAACAGTAGTATTTTAGCGATTTATGACCTTTGAAAGTGAAGGGAAATTGTATTGTTGTGAAATCGCTCAAAATTATTATTTAACGAATTAAAAATGCAGTACGTTTGATCCTTGATAAGTTTCTTTTTCGGCCGTTTCACTCTTCTCTTCATTTTGATAGTATTTTGATCCGACAATAGTTCATCTTGAAGGTTTTAAAGCGAAGTTTTAACCAAGCGTATGGAACAACTGCCGGCCGACGGGAGGAATGTAGCGTACTATAAATATTATATTTGGCATATCTATGGCATTAATACATCTCTAAATTCTCCTATCCTTGTCGTTGAATCCTCAATGCTGTAAAAAAAGCAGTTTTAAAAGAACGTAAACATATTCATACTGGTTAAAATACTGAACAGCAGCTTTGGCTTTTTTAGATTTTAGTAAAATTCTTGAATTTTTCTCAAACGTAGGGTTATTTATGGATAATTTTGGTAAAAATTGGCAGTTGCCTTATGGATAATTTGGGTAAAAATTGGCAGACATTTAATATTCTATTTTGTGGCTATCGACGATTGGAGATTCACTATCCACTATACAGTATATTGCCGATCCGTGAAAAATGCATGCCAAAACCTATACTCGCCTGGGGACATGGGCACATGGTGCCCCAGCAGCGAGTAGTTATTATTCAGCCGAAGGCGAGGTGATTATCGGGGAATATTCGCCGAGACGAAGTCGAGTTGAATATTTCCCGATAATCCACCGAGCCTGAGGCCGAATAATTGTTTTAGTATTTTTACACAAGTTTTTTGTGGGTTTTTTTGGGACTGAATTTATTTTAATTTCGCCTATTTCTTTATCAGTTGGGAGTTTAAACTTCACGTTTGTGGGAGCGGCAAACGGCAAGACCGATTTTTCTTGGCATAATCAGTTTCGTTCGATTTCGGCGTATCCGCATATTTTCTTTCATATGACACAGGAATATAGTTAAGCATTCTAGTTATAAAACAACAAGTCCATTTACTTTTTACTGATTTATAGCGTAAAATGTTTCTTTGCCTGACGTTTTATCGTTTGTCGTTAAATGCGGGGGGGGGGGAGGTTCGACGTCTTGTTTCAGGGCCCCCTCTCCGCAAGTTGCCCTCCCAAGTAGTTCCGGCCCTGAGTGTGAACCATAGGTCTCCCGAAAAGCTCTTTTATTTTTTAAAAAAATCCACGAAATTGCTTCAAAATGCAATGCTTCAATCTACAGTAAAACCTCATAATTCGTATTACATGAAGTACATGAAACAGTGTATATCGTTGCATCATTACAATGATATGTACTGTTACCAACGCGTACTTCATGTAATACGAATTATTAAAGAAATACCGAATGGTTTTCCATGCAGGATTGCGTGATCCATGTACACGAGGGATGTCGCAAGACTTTCGGAAAGCGTAAAAATACTCGAGCCGCAGGCGAGTGTATTTTTACGCTTTCTGAAAGTGGGAGCAACATCTTAAGTGCATGGATCACGCTATCCTGCTTGGAAAACCATTTGGTAATTGTCAGTAAAAAATAACTACAGTGAATTAATCTATGACATTTTGAGAATTCCGCGAAAATTCCGCGAATGCATTTAAATTTCTTGTGCAGGATAGCCTGATCTTGCACGGTTATTGACCAATCAAATTGCGTGTTTCACTGTAGTTAAAAAGAGGTTTTACTGTAGATTGAAGCATTGTATATTAAAGCACTGCATTTTAAAGCAATTTCATGGATTTTTTTAAAAAATAGAAGACCTTTTCGGGAGACCTATGGTTGAACCTGCAAGAACTTTTTAGATTTGGATTCAGCGTCATTTAGTCTATAAAATTGTGACGTGGAGTCAGTCACGTCAGAACATTCTTAATTTGAGACATTACGTCATTATGTTGAGTCATGCTTTTGCTATATTTATTGTTTGTGTAATATCTAGAAATAGTATATACGGTATGTAATGCTCTATAAATATCTTTCGGACAGTATATAAGCAAAGAAAGCTTAAGTTAGAAAAAGGATTGAAAAAGATTAATATTAGAAAAAGGATTAGAAAAGAGAAGATTAAAGTACAGTATAACTAAATAAAGTTGTGTGTGGATATTGTTGAAGAACTTTATAAGACTAAGAAGAAGGATATTCCAAATATGAGAAAGCCGCCCTGGCCAGCGCGTCTCGCTGTGTCTGGTCAAGGAGGGCAACGAGCGTAAAGATGATAAAGATGCAGACATACATTTTTGTTCTTTCTCACCCGCGAACGTAACAATTGGTTGCTCAGGCGGGAAACCACTCTCTCGGATGAGAGCGGTTGCTTTTGTTGTCAGTCTGGTGGTTGTCCTTTTGGTGTTATATTACTTATGGATGTCTTCCCAGTTTTAACGCCATGCAGTTCAAATTTGTCGACTTCAGCCAGAGGCTGAAGTACAACAGTGCAACGCTGGAGGTTCACTATGTCTTCGTGAAAAGGTTTCTGCTAAGATTGTGCCTAACGTCTACTCAGTGATGCCTAACAGTGGGAAAAGATTGTGTATTGTTGACCACATGTTAGTGGGTTGTTACGAAGTTGTAATGGTTTGATAAAACTCCCTAAGTTAATAATTATTATTAAAGAGTAAATGTTGTTTAAATTTAAGATTAAAAGCGAAGTATGTAATTTATACAGAAGATATCGTTCTTCTGTTGATGAATCTTCCGTATTCTGTTATTCTGTTGCTAGAGTTTAAGGACGCTTTCTTGTTGTATTGAGTTTTCTCAAATTTCATTCTTTATAGAGTCTTTTAAAGTATATTTATAACATTTAAAGAACAATAATTTGATATGGATATAGTGGAGGTCGCGAACAGTTAACGAAAGTTCTAACAAACTTTCTTTTTCCAAGAGGGGGAGTGTGACGTGAAGTCAGTCATGACGTCAGAACATTCTTAATTTGAGACATTACGTGTCATTATGCTGAGTCATGCTTTTGCTATATTTATTGTTTATGTAATATCTAGAAATAGTAAATATCTTTCGAACAGTATATGAGCAGAGAAAGCTTAAGCCATATAAGCAGTTTTTGACGATATCTCATGGGCGCAAAAGCTAAAAATCTGAGGGGCAGGGCACAAAACAGTTTCTAAGGGCACCAAGTAGGTATTAATAAACACAATAATATTTAGAGATTTGGGGCGGATTTAAATTTAAAAATTGTTTATATCAAGTGCTTCCCAGGGGCTGCTATAAAACGTTTCCCTAACAAATCTTGGCAAGATTTTTCAAGCAATTCTGGCAATTATAAGTCAGCAATCCCTTGGGTCAAGGTTTAACAATTAATAATGTTGTGATTTATATAGGCACAAAGCTACAGAAAGGTTGCTCTTCTGATGGCACATCAATTCCTGTTTGCCCTGGTAAGAATCAAGTTACAACTTCTCGGCTTTTTATTTAAAATAACATACTTAAAATAGCATGTTTAACATCAAATTTGTTACTTGAAAGCAGTATTTTAGAACAAGTTGACGAATATCCATATCTTGGCATAAATATTCCTTATATACTGGCAATTTTCCGGCAAAGAAGCTCAAAAAATGTTGTATAATAAAGCTCTACCCATAAGCTTAACCAAATAATTAAAATTCTCGTTCCTTCTTTTAATAATCATGACTTGTTTATGTAGTGATATTATTACAATGAAAGACAAATCCGTTGGGACATTGGTAGCTGTAACTATTACTTCGATGAGGGTCCTGAAGGGGTAAAATGGGAACTGGGATTGATCTATTTTTAGACTGGGAAAATGGGATTTGGGTTGCTGGGATCTGGGATTTGACTACTGGGAATGGGAAATGAAGTCCCCAAAAATGGGAATGGGATTGAGGTAATGCGAGTCGATTCCCAATTTTTCCACGTTTTAAGTATTCTAAAATACTATTTTGATCCGTTTTTAGTGTCTTTGGTCATGATTTTTGTTGTTAACTATATTATTCACAGCACTACCTGCGAACAGGCATGCTCTGGAGCGCGGAATTCTGGGTTTTCTGATTATGCGTGTCCCCAAGTCAGATGCACAGCGGAATATATGCCTAGTTTCCGGTATATACTTCATTTAACCCTTAGTATATACCTCAAAGGCAAAGCACAACAAAAAATACCGTCCTGTCGGACATGTCGGAAACAAGTTACTTAATTAACCGAAGTGGTCCGAGGTAATCCCATGTCCTTGACCTGCAGTAACGGACTTAATTCAGTGGCAAGAGACAGCGCATTAACCGCTTCTGCCACGCGCCGGTGCGCTTAAAAGGTCTTAAAACTGTTTATTCTACCGATAAATAACTTTTATTTTATTGACTGGGATTTCAATAACTCGGACTGGGATTTCTAATAGAAATCCAACTGGGACTGGGATTTTGCCAAAATTTCAGGTGGGAAATGGGATTGGGACCCCCCCCCTGTGTGTCAGTGAAGATGTCGTAATTCTGGAGAAATATTAGAGACCTTACAATTAGGCGACCGCAACGCCGGTGCAAAACGCCAAAGAAATTAACTGCGCATGCGCGCGATAAAATATGCAGGTCGCCTGATATAAGACGACGCCGCTACAGCCATTTTGACGTTGTCTGAAAACGTGAGCGTAATGTCAATTGAAAAAAGGTAAATATCGATAAAGTACATCAGGGTTTCGTTTATAGAGCGTTTGTACTCATTCCCCAAGGACCAAATCAACAAAAGCCTTGGCGGCCATGTTGGTGTTCCAGACAAAAGAGTCTACGGTAATTAAAATTCTTTGAATTGGAACACCAACATGGCGACTGTGACGTCATGTGCAAACGCTCTATTGTTATGTTTTAAAGGTAATGTAAAGATAAATACAGCTACAGAATGACGTTTTAATTACGAGTGAATCATATCAATGTAAAAAATTAGTAAAAAATTCACGTTCACGTTCTGACAAGCAATCGTAAGGTTAAATTTAAGCGGGAAACGGGAACGTCAATCGCACGATCATTCCAGTCCCCAGACGTTGGCGTTGCCGTCGCCTAATCGGAAGGTCTCTAATTAAAAATGACGGGAAGTGCGAATAAGATAATGGTTTTGTTCCATGTATGTGCTCAAGATTTTTCAGGAATATTACATGCTGACGATACGAAATTTTACGAAATCGATTACGAAAATCGTGCCAAAACTTACGCCTATTCAGTTTTCAGAAACACAATTGCTCTGTTTCTTGTTAACCACATTTCCCAATTAATGTTATTACGCAATTATAACGAATTGAATGCGCATCACACATACTTCCTTGTGAATTTGTTTATTTACGGTTCCAGGACCTTTCTGAAAATCACTTTGTTTAAAAAGCTTCCTGAAAATAAATATTAATTTAAAAAAAATGTTGAAGAAGCCGTTTATTAATATGCATCAGGATTAATATGTATCTGAATATGCATCAAGTTCAATTTTCAAACGTTTGCGTGGCAAGAATTGCATTTTGAATATGTGCGTAGATTTGATAATTACAGATGGCAAACTTGTGCTAAGGCGCTGAAAAGATAAATTGCAAAGTTGATTCGATAATTTTATAAATATGAATGTTTAGTGTATGACGTCAGAAAAATCAGGATTTCAATTTTCTCGCGGGAATTTTCCCACGCGTGGAACCATGATGTGGCTTTCTGTCTGCTTTTCGCGCTTAGAGGTCGACTGGTTGGAGGTAAGAGAATTTTAATTGAATTAGCGGTGTATTTATAGGTGTAGTTCCAGTTATCATGAGACCAAAAGCAAGACCGGACAATAAACCGCAAAGAGAATCTGTGGCGTTAAGATGCTACTGGAATTACCCTTATGACGCTTCACATGTTCAGTTTCACGTTCGATGGTTCCGAGATTCTAATGACACTCAACACGCAGTTGAACACAAGTTCAATGGAACTGCAACACGGAAAAACTACGAGAACTTGTATAATGCTATTTTTTATACGGATGCAACAAATACAATAGTTATACGAAATCCAACTGGTTATGAATGGAACAAAAAGGTTTGAATTTTGTGTATTTCTAATTTTTAGAGGTTTTTCAGGAACCTAAAATTGTTTCATGGATTATAAATATGTCGTAAAACGACACTTATACGTATTGCAAAATGGCGAATAAAAGTACACGCAATATCATGCAAAGTATCCTCATTTATTGTCATAATCCATTTTGAAATACTTAATTGCGCCATATTACGTGATTTAGCGCAATTTTCTGGTGCATGTATAGCCTGCAAAGCAGGCGCTCGCGAAAATATAAAGCATTTGAGACATGAAATTCGCATTGACATCCATTCGCCGAGTTAGCGATCTGGGATATCTATAATCTGAGACTTCTGTTGTCCAAAAGGGCAATAAAGATTAACAATAGAAAAACAAAAACGATATTATATGTTAAGAGCAAACTACACTACCCCATAATGATCATATATCGAGCACTCATTTCATGGACCAAAAGCATTTCATGGACCAAAAGCATTAATTATTCATGAGGAAGAGACAAAGGAATTCACGTACTGCCGTGTCAGTGGTTTTATATGTGACAAAAAATCATGTTCATTTACATAAACTTTAGCTTTGATTTTCTCGGCTTAGACAAGGTTTATTTTCAAAATTACTTCGCTAATGAACCCTTCAGATGGGTCGTTTTTTAAGCCATTTACTGAAACACTCGAGCTGCACTCTCGTGTCTTATATCTGATAAAACATGCACTCCTGCTTGTGTTTTAAGTACATACAACATTTCAAAATATCAGTAACAATGCTGAATAATAATTATATTTAATAGTTTTGTTTGTGGAAACACCACGTAAATTTATTACTGCATGTCTGCATTGTTGCATTTATTATTGCATTCATAACATTTTGTTTGTGTTTCCACAAACAAAGAACTATTATATGTTTTATCGCCGTGCAAACTTACAAAGAACTTAATAATTATATTGTGATTTTCCTGTACAATTTCCGATTGTGCTTAGTTTTTTTAAATGCTCCGCAACCCCTTTTAATATTGATTGTTGCAAATGGCCAACCTCAAGTTGAATGTTTTGTAAGTTATCTTCCTATTATATTAGGTCTTGTCTAAAAGTAAACACGAGTGGACCACGAGTGACCACGAATAACGTACCACGAATGACCACGAGTGACCACGAATGACTACGAATAACCACGAGTGACCACGAGTGATTTCTATGTTTAAAAGTCATAAAACAATAATAAAAACTATTTTAAGGTGGCTCCCTAGGGTTTTTGCATTATATTAGAATGTTAGGGTTTGTAATCCAAGTGAGTATATATACATTTTAAGACCTAACCAGGAACGACTGCGAAACATGCAGCACAAGGTCCTCTATTAGGAATTGAACCTACGGCCCTGCGTTTCCGATCCAGCGCTCTAAATTGTATCCAGAAAACTCCTGTTTCCTCACTTTAGGGACCATTCATTATTTATGACCGGGGGTAGGCTGGCAAAATTCAATTAACAACTAAACAAAATGTCCCACCCAACTCCCTGCATCACAAAAAAATTCAATGACCCCCTTCACATGAATTCCAAAAAATAGTACTCCCACCACCACCACCGACAATATAATAAATGTACAGTACTGTATAGAAATGAGCTCTTTAAACTTGTTGTAAAAGGCATCAGATCTTTCATTTACATGTGCTTTCAACAATTAATATACATGCCTATTTAACCCATTAAGCTGCAGAGTTTCCTGTTGACGAGTAAAATCATCTGGCGTTAAACAAGTACAAAAATAAGTACTGGGGTGCAATGGGTTAACTAGAGACATTGTCAGATTTCTTTGTTAACCCATTAAGCGCATGCAGAGCGCCAAAGAGGCTAAAACTGGGGGTCATACCATTTTTCGCTACTAAGAGTGTAGTAAAAAGTTGCTCAAAAAGGAAAAAGTTGCTTCAAGTTGCTCGAGCCGAAAAAAGTTGCTGCAAACGCAAAAAGTTGCTCAAAAGTTGCCGAGTACAATCGGGACATGCCTAGCAGAGTTTCCCCGTTGATGAGTAAAATCGGTTAGGAGAATAGGATTGGGAGTAGGGTTAGGGTTACAGTGCCGTAGGAAGCTCTTTTAATTTTGATTGGGGAGCTGAAAGCGAGGGCCAAAGGCCAGAGGAAATTTTTAAATTTAGAGTCTCTGAAATTCCATTTCCTGGACTTTGCGGAAGATTTGACAGAATTCTGATGGTAAGAAAACAGCATTTTAGTATGTCGAAATTTACAATTCATAGTAGCACTAAATGGGCGGAGGCGTATTTAATTAACTATATATTGGATAAGTTGCAGGAAAGTATGAGAAATATTTTCATTCTTTGCAGTTTGTCATGGGGATAAGGTAGCCGTTTAAAATTAATCAATTGTCAGTATTTCAAAGGTATATTATTTACATGATAAAGGTCTGCATGATTTTCGAAAAAGAATGATTATTAGCAAATTATGGGGGGGGGGGCTGCAGCCCCCCAGCGCCCCCGGGTTACTACGGCCCTGGGTTAGGAGTAGGGTTAGGGTACTACGTCAATGAACTACAATTCTCTACAAAGACTGCTAAACAGCTAGTGACTCTGTACATTTGACTCAGGCTCGGACTTGACACGGTAAACGACAAACTCCTTAATACTAAATTAAACCATGTATAAAATACCTGGTATAAACTAGTCTATATAGTAGTATAAAATGTACATAATTGAAATATGACAAAAATTTATCCCAAGTTCATGGCAAAAGTTATAAAGGTAGATGTTCGATTATTTTTCATATTAGCCTGGCACATTGCATTTTGGGTATTTGTGCATTGCATTTTGGGGCTATCTGTTGATTAAAATTGAGAATTATGCCAGTTACATGAATTAAATTTTTCTGCCTTGCTCGCTCCCTGTGGTAGCAATAATCGTTACATGTCACATTTTTTCTCTACTATAATAAATAACTGGACCCCACCCCTTCTGAACCAATATTTTTAGGTGCCCCCCCCTTTTTCGGTCAAAAATACCTCATGACCCACCCCCTTTTTTTGCCAGCCCACCCCCAGTCATAAATAATGAATGGTCCCTTACATGACACGAAGACGAAATTTTTTGGACACATTGACAATGCTCTTCTGAGCATTGCAATTTGCAACTTTTGCGCTGAAAGTCCGTTACCAAGGTGACAGCGTGCTTAGGATAATTAAGCCCAAAATTTGTCTTTTTCTGGCTGTTTTAAAAATTCCCTTCGGTAATTTTTTTTCAAAAATTTGCATAAAAGATTATTCTTGTATAATAATTTTTTCTTCAATTTTAAAAAATTCTATGGAACGTTTCTTAGAAAATTTCAAAAACGTCACAAATTAAAATATTCCCTTCAATAAAATTTTAAGAAAAAAGAATATTGAGCTTCTTTAACCGATATTAAGAAATGTGCAAAGTTTTAAAACAATTTACCGAAAATTTTGAGCCTTATCCTAAGCACGCTGTTGGCATGGTAGCGGACTTTCAGTACAAAAGTTGCACATTGCAATGTTCAGGAGAGCATTGTCAATGTGTCCAATATATTTCGTCTTCGTGTCATGTAAAGTGAAGAAACAGGCGTTTTCAGGATACAAAGTGCAGTAAAATGCAAAAACCTTAGGGAGCCACCTTAAAATAGTTTTTATTATTATTTCATGATTTTTAAACACAGAAATTACTCGTGGTCACTCGTGTGTACTTTTAGACAAGATCATTGTATTATTTGTCTGACAGGTATTCTGTAAAGTTCGAGGAAAGTTTCATGGTGGAAATTGGTCTGTATGGAAATCAAGTAAAACAGTTTTTACTGGCATTGCGGTAAGTTTAATTTCTTTGGCCTATTAATATATATATATATATATAAAATACTCATTAAATATTCATAAACCTTGTGGCAAATCATGTCAGCCATAATATGTCACGTGGAGTGACTTTATATCTGATAAAACTCGTCTTCATTAGTATTCTTTATATAATTGTTCATCCTAATTAGTATGATTATATATAATTGTTCATCCTAATTAGTATTCTTTTGTAGTCGTATTTTAAGCTATTCAAAACACTCGAACTCGCGTTTTATCATATCTAGTAAAACGTTCTGCTGCGCCTCGCGTTTTAAATATGATAAAACACTCCTTTTCGTGTTTTAAATACTACATATATATTGAGTACATTATATTACTTTCAATAGGTGCATCCTAGAACAATTTACCTCCATGAATGTGAGCGTGATAAAGAAGTGTTTGTGAGTTTAAGACCTCACCTACCTATCCGTGGAAGACCCTTCAAATTTGAGATTTTTTACGATGGTTCAAAGCATCAAAATGTAGTGGGGAAAATATGTGTACGGGGGACGGAAGTGCAAAGACGTTGTGTAAGCGAACTGACAAACAGGCACTCCATTTATCGACCTTCATGGATCAGAATAACAGCGATATGTCCTAAAACAGACAGTGCAAGGACCACCAACGAAGTCGATGTCGATTTTCATAACGCATTGGTGATCCATCATCCAATCTGTTTTGAGTAGTTACAATTTCCTTATTCATTAAGGTAATAAAAAAAGATATTGAAATGACTTTTTACGGAATACCAAAAAACGAATTTTTAGTCTTACCTATTCAATTCAAGAAGCGACGTAAATATATATTAACTATTAAAATTAACTATGAAGAGAAATTTAAACTTTTCAGAGCTGCAGTGGTAACTTGTTTGTCTTTGTAGTCATTGCTCGTAATAGCTATATAAAAATTCATAATTACATCTTTCTTGGTTAATTCATTATGCAGCTAGCCTTTCCCAATTCCCACACGTTTGCATTCTTCGATACTTTTTAAATTTTTAGATATCACTAACTTCGAGAGGCACAAAGCTCTGTAAATCTACAACGGATCCAAATATTTATACATTTGATAATCGGTATCGTATTCTATTCCTGTTTAAATATATGTTCTTGCCACGAGATGACACTGCACTCACATAATTAAAAAGAACTATAGTTTATGATATAGTTATAGTGCTTTAATATTATATTTGTTTATTTATTTTTACTTAAATATCTAAAGCTGAGATATTTACAGGAAATTTATATACTGAAAGTTCACTTTTTTAACCTATTGTTTAGATATTACAATCCTGGTAAGGCTGGCAAAGAAGGAACATTTCGTCTCTATCGTAACAGATACTCAGGGACTGAGGTAAACCTTACCGTCCATTGCAACTATTGCACATATCCACAGATAGCTGAGATAGACAAGTAGTAATATACAGGTAGTTCGGGCCCCTTTTTGGGGGGCGCCGATTATTAGTACAAATGGGGTGCCGCAGGGCGGAGGAGGGCGAAGGAAAGATGCGCGCGTATGTCATATAATGTTTGCATGACGTCATATAATGCATGCATAACATACCTGAAATGAGAGTGAGCTAACTTAATATTCGTGAGGGTAAGGAATTAATTTATATTCGTGATTGTTCATGAGGGTAAGGTGGATTGAGGCTGAGGAGTATTATATATGCAAGACGTCGTAGAACAAGACTGGACGAGTTTATACGAAACAATAATTATGCTGAACTTAGCGTTTTTACAACAACAGGTCTTATTCCCAATGCCTATATGATATATATATACTACGTTCATTGCCTGAGTCAAACATGGCAAACATATATTTATAGAAATAAATCTGCCAGATAGGCATAGTATTAAAAGCGTTCCTAAAGTTTTATACGAATATTCGAGTATGCTGAGAAGTGGGTCCTGTATGTCGTTGCAAGTTTTTTTTAACAACGATTTGCGTCTTCGCAGCATTCTCCACTTTTCCCTTGCTTTGCGGGTGGTAAGGTTTAGAAGTAAATGATGGTTAAAATTCCATCCGTCACAGAAATCGAATGTTCGAATTCGCTGTTGAATGGCATGCCATTATCACTCATCACCCTAGTAGGAATATGTCGAGCAAACCACGACTTCAGTACGGTGATGACACGCGATACCACTGTGCTTATCATGTCTTGAACTTCACGTCTTCGACTAAACCATCCAGAATATCGGGATACGGCACTGGCAACTGCGATCACCCCTCTTCCGGGGCTAGGAATTTCAATATTATGAACATCTGGAAGTATCGAAAATAGGAGGCATTTACTAAGTTATACGATTTACTATTACCTAACGTATTTACTAATACTTATGTCAATATTAATGTTGTGTAAATTTTATAAACAAAATTTGTGATATTATTTAGTGTTGTAGCACCCGAGTTATTTTTGTCATTTATACTTACATTTCTCTGGGTATGCCCTTAAATATATTAGTTATATTTGCGAACAGTTTTCCAAACATAAACCTATAGACTTTTTGCAGGTACAAGCAAGGCTCGATAAATGTTGCAACTGTGGAGTGGCTATTAAAGAAGGATATTATTTCAAAATTATTGAATTGTGCTCCAGTATTATGGCAGGAGATCCAATAATTATAGCGAAGACAAGATACACTTCAGATATGGCGAAAAATGGGTTTTATACGGAAAGGGCGTCAAAAGATTTTAACGCCGGTGAAAGTATCATAGTAAGTAGTGAGGCATGATAAATGCTAGAATGTTTGCTATCAGTGGCATAACTTTGGGCTAGGGATCTCCATCCTTATTTGAAAAGCCCCAGGTTTTGATTCAATCGACACTTTTCTACTCAACGCGACAATGAAGAAAGTATACACTGATTAAAATTGGGCCAGGGGAAATTTGCCCCTCTCCCCTCCCCTTTCTGGGCGGCTCTGGCTTGACAAGAACTTCACAGACGTTGATTTCTGTATTTTCTTATTTTTAGGATTTTAGTATCGTAGGTTTTTAAACTTTTTGTTGTGTAGCTTGAAAATTGCCTTCACTCTTTTGCTGATTTTGGCGCGAAAACCGGATAGGTCCGTATTGGTGTGACACGGATCTTCGGTAATCAGCTAATCAGAATGCTCGCTCCATTACGGACCTATAGTTAATAGTTAAGCTGGTTCACATATACCTGCGGTATGTGGGCGGCCTATTATATTGTCGTTAGCAGTTCACTCAAATAATTCACAAAAGAATGTATGCATCAACAGCTGTAAACAATGATAGCGCAGGCAGGGGCGGATCTAGGATTTTTCGTACGTTGCTGAACATCGAGGGGGGGGGGTTCTTTTAACGGGGGGGGGAGGTCGCAAAGGAATTAATTTGCATCCTGTTTTACGAAAAAGTGTTACGCATTTGTCTTTAAATTAATTTACAAGAATGGTCAAAAGATTTTTAAATATAGCGATGGAGTTTTATAAAACATTTGATTGATTGTTAATTCGCTGGAAGAGAATTTCCACGTTTAATTCACTGCTTCTCGAGTTTTATTCATGGCAGAAACATGTGCCATGACTGAAGTATTCACAATGGCAACATGATTAATTTTACTTATTGTATACATATTGTAGAGATCGTATTACACAAAGCCATGCCACATTGTCATGTGCTTGTAGTTTTAATATACTAGACAATTATAAGTAATAGCATGGCATTCAGGGCGATTAGTGATTAAATGTACCCGAAAGCCGAGAGAGGTTTAGTAAAACTTTTACTAAACCTCTCGAGGCTTGAGGGACATTTCATCACTAATCGACCGTAATGCCATGCTATTACTTTGTAATATCATAGTTGCCGAAGGAATCGCGCGTGGTGTGTTGCCTGTTTTGAATGCTGTTTGATTGTCTTATGATTGTGGTACGAACACTTTTCATATATACGCACGCGCAGAAACACATCTCCGTGTCCATTGCGTTTTAGGCATGCGCATAAACGGAATTTTCTCCCACAATTGTAATGTTCAAGATTAGGGAATAAAAGCTGGCAAAGTGATTGTTCGAATGTGTACGGGACGGTGTCGTCAGATACTGTCCATAGTTGTGCCGATGATTTTCGATGAGGTACAGCTCTCCAATCAGAGGTAATGAGGTACGCTTTTGTCTTCTAAATTTTCCTCATCAAGCATGCAGGGGAAAATTAGAACTAATTTTACCACGGGCAAAATTTTGCCCGTGGTAAAATTAGTTCTAATTTTACTCCATGTTTTAGTAATGAGGTAAATTAGTGATTAATCGTACCTCGCGAGACAAAGGATTTCGAGGCAACTATGGTATTATTATAAGTAATAGCATGGCTTGAGGGAGATTAGTGATTAAATGGCCCCGTAACCCGAGGCAGGTTTGCGGAATTACCGAGGGCGAAGCCCGAGGGAATTCCGCAAACCTGCCGAGGGTAAGGGGTCATTTAATCACTAATCTCCCGAAAAGCCATGCTATTAGTTTGTAATAGCATAGTTTCGCTCCCATTTAAAAATGGACAAACATGCCCTACTTGGAATCGGCGTATTTAAGCTAAAACATTTGCTTCATTGCTTGTGGGATGTAAAAGCTTGTTGCACATGCGCACTTTTTACGCTTTAATCGGTTACGCATGCGCAATCTATCATTTAACGTACCACAACAAACACGCTAAATATATTAGCATAAATTTGGAGACTGCACGTGCGTAATTTAAATGATGCGGCAACTCAGGGATCGGATGATAGACTATTGACGGCTCTGAGCTAACTGTTGCTGTTCCTTGCACGATTATGTGCGTGAGGCACTTGCCTAATGCGTAGTCGTCAGGAAGACAAAGGTGTGACCCTTGGTAACGGGCGATTAGTTCTAATCGCCCGCTCTAGCGGGCGATTAGAACTAATCGCCCGCTACAGCGGGCGATACGTGATTAAACGTCCCTGTTGAAACAAAAGGATTTCGAGGCAACTATGGTATTATATGATTAATAATCTTATGGACGGAACCATCTGAACTGCAGAACGTTAACGTTTTTAAATTTTTCTGATAATTAAAATTTAAGTTTATTTAGTCACGCTGTCTGTAATAGTTACACAACTATGATAATAAAACATTTCTAGGTTTACTGTCTTTAGGAAAATTAGTCTTTACTTAAAAATTAGGAAAATACACATTTTATATTTGGGAGGTTTATAGCAACACGACAGCTGTGTACGAAGAACGAGGCAATCCAAAAAAGTATGCATACATCAACCATATGGCTACATTTCAGTTGAGCTATGACACATGCTGCCATTCAACTATAATTCCGAAGATTTAGTACCAAAGATATCTGTCATACTGTCCTTTACCGTTATTGGACGTTATTGGTTATTAAACCTACTACATCGCTGAATGCAGTGTCTGAAGTAAATTGTCTATAGTTACAAGCAAAATTGCTCAAATATCAAATTATATACCGAATGACACCCACGAAAAACAGTAACACAGCAGCTCTCTTAGTTTTTTTTACCTGGAATTTTATAAAGGCACAGTTCTACGTACTGTGATTGCAAACAAACTTCCGTTTCCGGTTGAGCTAGTAGTTGTACAGTGGAGAATTAATTGCCGCAGTATTAGCATGCATCATCTTCATTAGTGAAAATAAAATGATTAACTAGAATTAATTGGTATTATTTTCCACAAATGAAAATTAATTATATTTAAGGAGTATATGTTTTCACCTGGGTGTGTAAGTGTATATGTTTGTTTGTACGTCACGTCAACGTCATTGAAAGGCATTCTCGCCAAGTTTTTAGCGCTAAATAGTTCGAATTATTGATTAGAAACTCCCTGGCGTAGCAGCCGGTTTTTTGGGGGCGGATTTGCGGGCGAGAAAAGTAAGGCGGGAAAACGGGAAGGCGGGCGAAAACGGGCGGGTGACAAAAACCGTCTACCGTTTTTTCATACATTTTTTAATGCCGCCTATTTAAGTCGATTCAAAATTTACGTGAAATCGGTATCTGTTGCATTAGCCAGGTGGTTATAATGAGTTCACACGTATTACTAGGCTATTCGTATTACGCACTTGCTGTAATTGTCTGGAGCTCACGTGTGAAACCAGCCAGCAATCTCGTTTCCAGAGTATGCCTGTTCACGGGTTATGTAGTGGCATGACTCTGGGGAAATCGAATTTATTTTATCCAAAATGAGATAAATGGCGCATGCGCTTTTATTGCTCTTGTTTATTCCGCTTACTAAATTCGCGCGGGCGCACGCTCACAATCGATAATTTGTTTGAACAGATTCTCATCAAAATATAGTATACAAAATAGTTTTTTGTACGTTTAAAAGTGCTTTAAATCACACTACTATTAAACTATATTCAATGGCAAATATTGAAAGAGTTATTAAAGCTGCTCTAGCGAAAAGAGGGCTTGAATTTTCGTTAAAAGATGAGACATTGTATCTCGGCCATTGTAAAATGGTGAAGATGTTTTGGGCGTTTTGCCAACAGGACATGGGCTTATCATGGCAAATATTAAAATATTTCAGCTGCTACCTGACGTGTACGACATGTTACTTGGTGTAACTTATAACTTATATTTAAATTCTATTGTGATAGTCATATATATATACTCATATTTCCACTAAATGCACTGATGATGTCTGATGCAAGATCAAGTGGCTAAACTGAATGACCAAGGCATTTCTGCATGCATGATACAAGGCCATTCTGTGCTACACTACACTATGATGATGGCAGCGATATCAATTTACTATTGGATCAACTTGAGAACCCTACGTATAAGCTGTTCTATATGCACCCAGAAATGTGTGTCAATGACAAGAAAATACAAGTTTACAGTACATTGTTTTCAACTGTGTACTGTAAATCTCTGATTCTCTAAATATAACGCTCACATCATTCCAACTGTAAGCCCCCCCCCCCTTCCCGAATATAAGCCCAGTAGCCCTCTTTGTTATTCAACATTGACATTGTCTTTTAACAAAGCAGGAACGATATTCAAAAACATTGTCATTGTCTTTATAACTTATTATACTAATCAAAGCGTGTTATTAATACATGTTTATTTTCCTGTTTATGACTGACTTGTTTAGTACTAACACAAAAGATCGTCCATATATAAACTAGGCCTCCATATATGAGCCCCCCTGTATAAGCCCATCAAAAATCACTTACAAAAGAATATAAGCCCAGGGCTTATAGTCAGACGTTTACAGTATTATTTATAATATAGCATTTGTAAATTCTGAACGCTGATTGGCTAAGAGCCGTGTTGATATAACTCCATGTCAACACGGGAAATTTTCCGCCGCTTGTAAACACGGAAATTTTTCTTATTCTTCGGGCTTTTGACATTGCTATATTATAAAACAAATATAAAACATTTTTTTCGTATTGATATATAGTTATATCAACACTCGTGGAAGTTGGGAAAACTCGAAATTGTATGAAAACACTCCGCCCTTCGGGCGTCGTGTTTCCACACAATTTCTCGTTTTCCCAATTTCCACTCGTGTTGATATAACTGTATATCAACACGGAAAATTTATATTTGTTAAATATCACATATTTTAACAATATTATAACCACATTTTTTATATTATATAGACATGGAGCACATATAAAGTCTTTCATAAATAACACTACATTGTGTTTGTGATTATAATTACTTGTGTCGAAAGTAAGAAATGAAGTGCACAAGGCCATATATATTTGTTGAAAGTTTGTTGCAGTGGGTATC